CAGTTAGGTTAAAGCTTAAAAAGATTTTAATGAAAATTCTTAGATAAGCAAAAGAGTGTGGATATGAGGGAACTGTATCAACCATAACTTTTTCTTCAGTATTAAACTTTGTTAACCCGTACTATTAGTTTAAACTAGGGGTGAGCAGATTCGGTTCGTACCGAATTCATAACTGATTTCAAATTCAATTCGGTAATTTGAAATCGGGTATTTGGTAATTCAGTACCAATTCGGTGCGTACCGAATTTACTGAATTCTAATATGGTATAAAATAGGTAATGAGATTATGAATTTGGTAATAACCGATTTCGAATTCAAATTCGATAATTGAAATCGGGTACCGCATTACCGCATTCGAATACCAAATTGATATATAAAATTATATAATATATAGATAAATGCTATTTAGTATTAGTATATACTACTAATACTTTATTGTATTATATAGGTAAATGCTATTAATAATAATTAGTATATGGTATTATCATCATATCTTGTACTTATAATAATAATAATAATGTACCATATATTATTTTAATATTTGTTAATTGTTATATGACTATAATAATACAAATATATAGTAATACATAACAATATAAGATAACCATAATACTTATTATTTTATACATGAGTAACATGACTAGAATTAGATAATAATTAATACATATATGTATAATACTAAATATTAAACAATAAACATAATTAGTAATTAGAATTTAGATATTGATAATTTGATACATCATTCATGTTTGAATTATTGAATATTTGAATGCGTAATCTGTAACTTACAAGTATTAGTGTACTCTAAATTTACATTACATATTTAACATAAAAATTCATATTATCTATTCACCAATCTTAAGACTTTAAGTATAGATAAGACAACTTAGCAGTTAGCAGTGTAAGTGAATGCATATGAATTGCAAATCAATGAATTAGTGTATTGACTTTCACAATAACATATGTAAGTAAATAAGTTTTATTTTGATTTGAAATAAATTATAAGTTTGTAACTAATATAACTTATCACTATCATTGTAATTTGTAAGTTTGTAACTAATATTACTTATTATAAGTCATTATAAATTATAAATTCATAAATTATCACTAATCATTGCACAATCTAAGGTTTATTTTAGTTTAAATTAATCACTTTTTATGTGTTCCTCAAATCATAGACTAAGGATTCTAGGTATAAGTGATCAAATAAGTTAAAATTCATATTATCTATTTACTAAGCTTAAGGATTTAAGTATAGACAAGACAACTAAGCATTGTAAGTGAATGCATGTGAATTGCAAATCAATGTATTAGTGTATTGACTTTCACAATAACATGTGTAAGTAAATAAGTTTTATTTTGATTTGAAATAAATTATAAGTTTGTAACTAATATAACTTATTACTAATCATTGTAATTTGTAAGTTTGTAACTAATATTACTTATTATTAATCATTGTAAATTATAAATTCATTGTAACTACTAACTAAATTAGTTTAAATTAATCACTTTTTATGTGTTTCTTGAATCATAGACCAAGGATTTTAGGTATAAGTTATCAAATAAATGCCAATTAAACCACAAAATGATTTGAACATAAGTAATGTGTTCAATTATAAATAAATTTGGGATCAAATCAGTAATAATGTTTAAATTATTGAGGAGCATAATGAATGTATTATAATTTAGGAGCCCCAATTTATAAATTAAAAATTACAAAATCACTTCATCTGGGAAAAGTCGGATTTCATCTTCAGCTGATGAAAAGTGAGAAATCAACCATTGCAAATTTGCAATATTGCATGGTGCCGTGACTGCCGTCACCTAGGGCTTTCACAGCACTAACACTCCCAAGTCCCAAGTCCCAATTCCCAAATCGAAGCTGCTCTCCCCCTCTCCGGCCTCCGCCAGTCCGCCGCGCTCTACGTCTCCTGTCGGCTGTGTCCTGCCGTGCTGGTTCATCGCTGCCGAGTGTCGAAGACGAAGCACCAAGATCTCACTGGTTCATCGCTGGTTCATCACTGCTCATCTCTGGCTCGCTTAGGTAAGTGCTCCTCTGTTTTTGGCTCCGTGTCTCTGGCATTAAAATGGGCCAAGGTCGACTAGGAAATTTGTTATCCTGAATTGATAAGGGGACGAAATCTGAGCTTCCAATTGCAAACTCTAACTGTTGTAGTAGTTTAGATTAGGTGTGATATAACATAAGCTTTGTATTTTATACACAAGAAAGCTCTCTCCAGTTGTGCAGCCTTTAAAAGTTAAGGCCTTGGGGAAAAATTCCACCTTTTACCCGTTAGAAAAATTAGAAAGGAAAAAACTTGCTAAAATGAAAATTTTACCTCCTTGTCCGTGGAGATTCTCAATCTCTGGTGCACATCTAGTGAAAGTACGGCTCCAGAAGTTGTACCTAGGATTCTGGATATGAATTTTCTGCAATGTGTAAAAGAAGAAACATCTATGTATAAATAAGCAGAAAGGTCACCTTAATAAGCTCAATAAAAGTAATCAGCTCCTGAATAAGTAATGGAAAGCATTGGAGCAAGTCTAGAACATATCGAAGAGAGCAATTGAGCTTTTATAACTACAAACCAGTAGAAGGCCTACATATGTCTCGCTTCTTTACATATTTTCAGTCTAATATTTGTAGCTTTCTCATGGCTTGCGGGGGTTGGTAGTTGCTGAACTATAAAGATTGGTTTTATATATTCTCTTAATTTGCTTCAGGGTTTTTTTTTACATAATAGATGAATTCGGTTAGACCGAATTCATTACCGTTTTTGAATTTGAAATCGGGTACCGCATGAATTCGGTAATGCCCAATTCGAAATTGAAAACGGTTTAGATTTCTATTGGTGCAATAACCGAAAAAACCGAATTCAGCGCACCGATTTACCGCATTTGCACCGAATGCTCACCCCTAATTGATAAGGGGACGAAATCTGAGCTTCCAATTGCAAACTCTCACTTTTGTAGTAGTTTAGATTAGATTTGATATAACATAAGCTTTGTATTTTATACATAAGAAATCTCTCTCCAGTTGTGGAGCCTTTAAAAGTTAAGGCCTTGGGGAAAAATTCCACCTTTTACCCGTTAGAAAAATTAAAAGGGAAAAAACTTGCTAAAATGAAAATTTTACCTCCTTGTCCGTGGGAGATTCTCTTAATTAATAGGTCTTGCCAACATTCTGGATGAAGTTATGCACTTGTGCTTCTTTGAAACTGGTCTATTCTTGGCCTTGAATATTATATTGGCCAACAACCTAGATTTAAGTCTTGATCCAACAGGAGAATATTTTTGGGCTGAACAGGTTTCTGTCCAAAAGAAATATGATAAAATGTCCCTGACCCAATTTCTTTGTGTGCATTATATGCAAATCTGGTGACGTTAATACTGAATCATTGCAAACTTAAGTTGATAACAGGGTATTATTTTTTTGTAATAGATGTATTCGGTTAGACCGAATTCATTACCGTTTTCGAATTTGAAATCGGTTGCGGAATGAATTCGGTTATGGCCAATTCGAAATTGAAAACGGTTTAGATTTCTATAGGTTTAATAACCGAATTCATTGCACCGAATTACCGTTTTTGCACCGAATGCACACCCCTAGTTTAAACTGTTATTACTCATTGGAGTAAATTTCTTGGATCTCCAAATTTTTGCAGGTACTGATTTACATTGGGGCCTAAGGTCATCCTCTTGAAACAATGGCCAAGCATCATCCTGATTTGATTATGTGCCGGAAGCAGCCAGGAATCGCCATTGGACGCCTTTGTGAAAAATGCGATGGAAAATGTGTCATCTGTGATTCTTATGTGCGTCCTTGCACACTGGTGCGAGTTTGCGACGAGTGCAACTATGGATCATTTCAGGGCCGCTGTGTCATCTGTGGGGGTGTGGGAATTTCAGATGCTTACTACTGTAAAGAGTGTACGCAACAAGAGAAAGATCGAGATGGGTGTCCGAAAATCGTTAACCTGGGGAGTGCCAAAACAGATCTCTTCTACGAGCGCAAGAAATATGGATTCAAGAAAAGATGATAAAAGAGTACTAGCTAGTCATTGCTTTCACTAATTGTGGCTGCTGATCATGACTTGTGTACCATCAGAAAGACAAAATGAGAATCATCATGTAGACCTCATGTTTGTTGATCTTGGGAGTTAATTGTAACTCTGCCTCTCTGTAGACTTCGAAAATGACAGAAACTTTTGTGTTACATGGTGCTAAATTGGCATAGTTTTGGCCTTGTGGAATTGCCATGATTTGCTAAATGTATTTTTATTATTTTTTTTTAAACATTTGCTGCTCCTTTCTATCTAATAAGTATCTATTATTATTATTCATTTTTGTAAAATAAATGCAATTTTAGTATCAAAGTGATTTTACATGTCAAGCTCGTCTTGAATATTAGCAATAGTAGCTCTGGAAAATACTACTCAACATTTTCAACATCATCATCACCAATGTACTACTACATAATAGGTGTTACTGAAATTATATTACTATGGCAAAAATGGTGTAGAGTTTTGTGTTAATGATGTATTTATGTTACATAAAATATTGTTATATATAATGCCACCATAATAATTATTTAAAATTCCAAAATAGTAATTATTTAAAATCTTTTATTACCTTAACGGACATGGTATTACTTGTTAGTGAAATTAAACATTAAACAATACGAAAAAAATAAATAAAAAATGGAATGTCTAGAAGGTGACGAAAAATCTGCAAAAAAAGTTTATTTATAAATCACAAAATGTGTTCAATGGTGGTCAATGTAATTTACAATAAAAACTTGATCATCATCATGTTCATTTTGTTTAATTTTGGTAAAAAAATAAATAAATAAAACTTGGGCTGGGCTCAGATTAAATACCTAATCAAATTTCAAACCCAATATGCAGAGGCTGGTAATTCACGTTTATGGTCAACAACAGGGCCGGCCCAACAGCCATCTCAGCCCTATCTCCACGCCCGATATAAATATCTCATTTAGCAGGAGCAGTGGTCTCTGATTCGAAGCCCTAAACCCTAGAGAGGGAGTAAGAAAGAGGAGAAACCAGCTCAGCCATGGGTATAGGCCGCCGCCGCCGCCGCCGCTGCTGCTGCCGGCGCATTTCTCTGTTTTTTTCTGCTAATTTCTCTCTCCTTTTCAGTGCATTTTTTTGGTCTAATAGTCCTTCGTTTTCTCAGGGGCATATACGTACGTGTCGGAGCTATGGAGAAAGAAGCAATCTGATGTGATGAGATTTCTTCTGAGGGTTCGCTGCTGGGAGTATCGTCAGCTTCCTTCCATTGTCCGGGTCACCAGGCCTACCCGACCCGACAAGGCTCGCCGCCTCGGCTACAAGGCCAAGCAGGTTCATAACCGATTTTTATCTCTCTTTATTTATTTTTTTTATTTTTAGAATTTTTTTGTCTCTAACTTGTTTGACTGTAAATATTCAGAAAATGTGATTCATATGGTTTGAGCATTGTTGTCTACTGTCTTTTTTGGCTTGATTTCTTCAGTTACAGCTATAATACTTTGATTATAGCTCTTTTGTGAATATAGGATGTTCAGCTGGTAATGTTTTATGGAGTAACAATTTTTCTACTAAGCAAGCCAATTAAATGTTTCTATTAGCTGTAAACTTATCGGTTTTTGAATCCATTTAAATTTAGTAGCGTCCACTTGGAATTTGAAGACTTATTTTACCTCTTGGAGAGAACCCTGTTTTGAGAATAACTTGTCTATTTCACTTTTTTCTGTTACCAGTAATTTATCTTGTTTCTAAATACTATGATTTCTCATGTGGACTTGCTGTTTCTTGGTTTATGATTTTGTTTAATAATGTTGGAAATCCTGAATTTTTGAGTAAGAAGTTAAAGCTACATGTACCAAGGGAAGGGTGAAATTTTGTAGTGCCCTCCGTCTTGAATTGCCAAAGTGGCTGTAGCTAAATGAATGAATAGGAGTTAACTGGCCGGTTGTTGTTTGCGGGATTCCTTCCAACTGGAGGGATCTCGCATGTCGACATATCTGCTTACCGAACTCCTTACATTTTCTGAAATTTTATGTTTCTTTTTCTTTTTGATGTGCATTGGCTGCAACTAACCATTAAACATGAGTGGGTCAAGGTTTATAGTGCTCACCTGCAGATGCAGTTCTAGAGTGTGGTTTATGATTGTTTTCTTTTCAGGGTTACGTGGTCTACCGTGTTCGGGTGAGACGTGGTGGAAGAAAGAGGCCAGTTCCTAAGGGCATTGTGTATGGAAAACCCACAAACCAGGGTGTTACTCAGCTGAAATTTCAGCGCAGCAAGCGATCAGTGGCAGAGGAGCGAGCTGGTAGGAAACTGGGTGGTCTCAGGGTTCTCAACTCTTACTGGATTAATGAGGTTGGTGCTGATACAGTTGTCATTCTGCTACAGTATGACAAAAATGATCCGATTGAACCTTAATATATGTATTCTAGATGGATAATAAATATTTTGCTTATCAATGAGAATCTTGAATGGTGACTATTTTTAGTTCTTGCTTTGAAAATTGTGCACTTCTGCTGATCGTTAGTGGTTTTAGTATTAGAACTGTGTGCATGCTCCTTTGAGTGGTTCTTGTTTTTGTATGTCATGTATTCTCATGCATAACTCTTCATGTTCCTGAATGCAGGACTCTACTTACAAGTACTATGAGGTAATCTTGGTTGACCCTGCCCATGCTGCAATACGAAATGACCCTAGGATTCACTGGATATGCGAGCCAGTCCACAAGCACAGAGAGCTTCGGGGACTTACCTCTGCTGGGAAGAAGTACAGAGGTCTCCGAGGAAAGGGGCATTTGCACCACAAAGCACGGCCATCGAGAAGGGCTACATGGAAGAGGAACCAGACTCTCTCCCTTCGTCGCTATCGCTGATCTTAGTTTTGTTTTAGGATTTTGCACTCAACTGTTTCTATTTTTGGTAAACCAGCTATTTTGTGGAATCGTACTTAATTTTTCCGAGTCCTGATGATGAGTTGTATGTTTTGTAGCTTGAAATATATGGTACTGTTTGATTATTACATTTTCTCTACAGATTACACTTTTATCAGAATATGGTACAACTACCATCCCTGGTTGAAAATTAAGGATTATGGCTTGCAAAATATGCGAGCATTTTGATGCTTACGAACAACAGATCATATTGAAAATCCTCGTTTCAGTGGACAATTATTTGATTTTTCGCATGTCCGTATTATCAAGAATATTGTATGGGCTCTGTGGAAGGCATTGATCAAGTATGGTTCTAGATGTGCTGTGCAGATGCTTTTGGACTTTGAGAATTCACCTATCACGTAAAGAGTTATTTTGGATTGGCCTTTATGGAGGTTGGCTTAGATGCTTGTCTGCTTTATTTCTTTGCCCAGTGTTTAATTGGTTTTTGGCTTGGGATAATTTGAAAGTTTGATCCCTTTGCTAGTGTGCTGCTAGGGATGCCCTTTTATCAAAATTACTCATTAAAACGTAGTGAGCAGTTATTCTATCTAGATGGATATCTCTATTTCTTTGTAAGGTACCTAGCATAGTATCCAGGTTAACATTAGTTAATGTGCTGCACCTGATGATGAGTAGAAAGGAAACATGAAATGCCAAATCTGAGCTGAGCTCCAAGTTAGCCTTTCCTTCCATAATCCAAATAAGATGGATGGATTCAGATTTACTATACTCTTCTTTCTTTTCTTTTACACTAATCTCCTTTCCTTTCCTTCCCTTTCCATCAATCCAAACGGTGCCAGCCCTAAGGGAATGAAACAGAGCATGTTAAACTCTGCTAGTGTTCTTGGTCTTTGGAGATGGTGAAGTTTGTCATATAATGAAATCCAATCAATATTACAAGTACACCTTACATGGAGGAGTGCTTAATAATTTATGGCAAATGAATTTCTGGTTGGTTTTGGAAACGGAGAGTGAGTATGTGAATTTTTATACTTAGTTCATAATTATCTTGATAGTTATGCATATGTTGGTTATGTTGGCAGCATATTCTTAGGTAGTTATGGTGAAAATTATATTGGTTATATAAGGAAAAAATAGTAGTTGAGTGAGATTGTTAAAGAAACCCATGGGCATTAGATTGATTTAGTTTTTGGTCAGTAGTATTTTGACTATCAATTGAGCACAAGTAATGAGTGGAGTATGAGGGTGAGGGTACATTTGACATTACACAAAAAGTGACAGAAAAGTGTTTATACCAAATAAGTGAATGCAATTGTATTACCATTATTATTGTCGAGATGATAAGACATGTAGTGATTAAGAATATGGGTTATTCTAAAATGATAATTTATTCAAAATTCATTGACTTTGCAAAATATAGTCAAAAGGTTACAACGGGTAATCCATATCCATTAACCAAGTTTGGGCAACTGGTGAGAGGCTATTGTCAAATGGATTTAGACCGGAAAGATTGAATGCTGCAGGTCTGTTTAGCACCGCATTCAGAGGTATATCTAAGTTCAATGTTGTTGAGATATAATAAAGATTAGTTGTATTAACCCTCCACACAGTAAACAATAAAGACTTATACTAAACTTGTAGTGAAGCAATTGGTTATTAAACTTTTAAAAATTTCTTGTTTTTGTCATTTAATTTTTGTAACTACAAAGGTCACTTAAACTAATATATGTGCAATATTGGACCAATATTGTAAATTATTATTAGTTGAGTGACAACAACTATATGCCTTTTTGCATTTTTTTTTTTTGTCAATTATCATCCCTACTTCTACTCCTACTCCTACTCTAACTAGGGGGAGGTTCAACTGAACTTACGGGGGATCGATGGGAACAGAACCACCATCAGACCAGACGGGTGCATAGTGCACCCGTCTGGATTTGAAGAAGAGCCATGAGAGTGACATTTTGATGGGAGACAAGATTTGAACCCTTAAATCCCACCCCACCAAAGCCTCGACAAAAAATATCTATTTTTTTATTAGTGAGTGACCTTTTTAACTAAAAAGATAGAGAAAGGCCTTTACATCTGTTACCTCACGTCTGGTAAGCTGGAAAGGCCTTTACATGTTATTCAATCCCATTCCACTATTAAGTATGCAACTTTCTATTGGAAAGGCCTTTTCTCTCGGAAAGCTTGCTTCAACTTTTTTTGGAATGTCATTCCTCACAAAAATCTAAGAAAAGCCCATTTTCACTTGCCCTAGGAAAAATCTAAATTGTATCAAGAAACACCTAAATTGTAGTAGTCAAGTTTACTTTTCCATATGTCTTTATCTTCTAAAAACATTATTACATGAACGTCAAAAAAAAAGTTTGTGTGACAATTATTATTATTATTATTATTTTCTTAGTGTAAGTGCAAGGTTTTGAATTCGGATCTTTCACTTACACTTTTTTCCCTGTACTATTTAATCCATCCCTCAATTATAATGTGTTGTTTACCTCCCAATTTAGAGTTTGTTGTATTATATTGGGCTTGCGTTTTCATCTTTTCTTGTTTTGTTTCTTTACAAATCATTGAAGTTAATTGTTATGGCTTTCTTATTAATTTGAGACTTTATTTTCTGTATTATGTATTGGTCATTTCATATCTCCTCTGTATTTGAAAAGTTTAATTCTAGAAGTTTTTACATAAAGCAAACATTCAACGTTAGGTATTATCCTCTTCTCTATTAAGTGACTTTTTTTTTCACTCTTTACTGTCAAATAAAATGTTTAATTAAAATTTTTTAACATCATTTTTTAATGTTAAACTACAAAAATGTTATACAGTTTAAACTAAATTTGAATATTTTAAGATGATTATGAAGTTTTTTTCTTATAATGTTTATAATGTCTGAGGAGATGGTATGCATTTATGATGTTTATGGAAATAACATGTAAAAACAATTATAAAAAAAAAGTAACAAGTAAACCTCCGTACTCCCATCCTATTCTTTTTAAAAGGGTACCAGTCATGCAAGCGGTTTTGACACTATTCAATAGAGGAGGAGGGAATCATATTGAGGCAAAAATGTTTCTCGCCAGCTCTTCAATTATGAGTTCATCACAGAGTAGTATTGGGTTGCAAACTGTGAATGCTATGTTTGATACTCCTAAATCCCGATACATTACATAAACCAGAAAGGTGGGAATTCAGGATGGAGGGACTTCCCGGGAAAATGGGGTTCAATTGTACCATTTTCCAAGTTGAAAATTCCCATGTTTAGACTCCCTCTTGATCATCTGTAAAGTAGATGCAATTAGGTTTCAAGGATCCATTAAACTTGTATGCAGGCAAAGACGAAGATGGATTTCTACCAAGGAATAATACCCGGTCTCCCAAAACTGCTCACCTCTGTCCATTTGTAAAGATATTCATTGTCATCAATATTTTCCTTCTAAAATGATCATGACAACCGAGCATGTCCTCCTGCTTCAGAACAGAAAAACCAATTGTGTAAATAATTCAGCACTTCTCCATCTTCAGTTTCCTCGCCTCCACGAGTACGAGAAACTAGTAAAAAAAACCTCCTGATCATGACTCAACCAGGTACTTTTGAGTGTAATCTGGAGGTTCATAAGGAATTGGTGCAATTATTTTCGCTCTTGGTCCATCGCCGCCAGTCTTGTCATCATCGATGTCACAAGCAACCACAATTCCATGGCAATCCACTGCATACAGTTTGTCCTGGTAGAAAATAATATCCTAATAAGCCTTGGAAGGGACACGAATAGTAGTCCACACCTCATCTCCTAGCCTTGCAAATGCCAATATCCTCAATTCGCCGTATATTGCAGCTACAACACAGCAGTCCTCCCGATGAGTGTGATTGTCATGCAAACCGGTCTTTTCATCAAGCCAAGGATTTGAGGACAATGCTACCTCTAGTACAAACATATGAAAGCGTTCCTGAGGCCTATATTCGTGATGGTAGGCATAATGATCACTGAAGGCAAGCTTGGAAGGAAGGGAAATCTGTTTACGGGTGAGGGGATGCACAAGATTAATTTGTAAATCATGGCTTAATGTAAAGATGCATCCGTAAGATACTCCACACAGTTCCTGCCCGAAGCTTCGGGCAACTCAAATTCGTACGCCTTCAAAGTTGACAAGTTAAAGAAATGGCGAATTTTTGGTGCATTTTTTAATCCATCTTCATCCTCAACATAGCACAAACCATGGTGGTAAAGGAGGTGATTTTTCCTTCGAAGTATAACAGGACACAGATTGATATATTTCGCAATCAAGGCAGAAGAATATGTCATCAGTTTCTACCTTTCCCTCAGCATGCACGGGCCAAGCAGGTACGAGAGGTTTCTACTTTAAAGTCCATGATGCAGATTGCCATTTTTAACAAGAAGCACAGTAAAAAATGTCATCAAGTCCTACCTTTTCCTCCTCAGCAAGCACCAGCACCAGCCATGGAGGCAAAGGTGGTTTCTCCTTTAAAGTATGCGATGCAGATTGCCACTGCTTGCATACTGCGCAGAAGACAATGAAGTCATGGCCAGCAAGTCGTTGGGCTATCTGTGCCAGCAACTCTGGTATAAGATTAGCCCAATCTGCCATATATTATGTCGAGTGTGAAGATGATCCGTACAACAACAACAAAAAGGGTTTCACAACTAGTAACAAATTTCAATCTTAAAAAAAAGAAACAAATACATATGGATTCCTTCAGCATACATACACATGAAATACACCACAAAACGAATTTTATTGCAGAGTTAGCAATGTGTCAACTAGTAGCAGTTCTTTTACGAGCGTCATTAGGAGAGTTGGTGCATGGTTTTTTTAATGTTTATGTAAATATCCACAGCATCAATATTCATCCTACGTAAATTCAGTTAATATATTCATGTTATGTAGTACAAAAGTTACTGTACTCGTCGATTAATCACACAGTAAAATTCAAAATCCCTTTCAAAATGAACAACTAACCCAATTGAGTAAGTGAAGTAAATCTTTAAGCACATTATTGCACAGTACAATTGCTACTGATAATTTTAGGACTCTTAAGGAGTGAATATAACTGAAAGCTGAAAGTTTGGTATGCTAACAAACGACTATTCTTAGATAGCAAAATGTCAAACTTTTCGTCGATTAATTCCAACGTGCATTCTCTATGTTTCACCCTATAGTTCT